ATCAAAGTAGAAGACATGGAAACATATAAATCTATGGGGGAAAGGAAGGCGGGGTGGGTCTTTCCTCGAAGGGTTTTGGAGAGAGGGGGTTTAAAGGAGGTTTTGTGGGTAAGGGGCTTGGACTTCCAGCAAGCGTGCGTGAGCGTGTTAGATAGGAGTGAATGGAGACGAATGGTATTTGGGACCTGACAAGCTGTTGGAGTGTGAGCAGGGTAATATTTAGTGAAGGGATTCAGGGAAACTGGTTATTTTTATGTAGCTGGACTTGAGTAATGGAAATGGAAAGTACAATGCCTGCACTTTAAAAGAGGGGTTTGGGATATTGGCAGTTTGGAGGGATATGTTGTATCTTTATACGTATATGCTTCTAAACTGTTGTGTTCTGGGCACCTCTGCAAAAACAGTGATTGTGTGTGGGGTGAAAGTGTTGAATGATGAAAGTATTTTCTTTTTGGGGATTTTCCTTCTTTTTGGGCCACCCTGCCTCGGTGGGACACAGGCGACTGTGCTTGTAGATATAATGCATGAGAATTCCTGTTGATTCACAGAGGCTCTCTCTGAGACAGAGAGAGAGAGAGAGAGAGAGAGACACAGACAGAGAGACAGACAGAGAGAGAGACAGACAGACAGACAGAGAGACAGACAGAGAGACAGACAGACAGAGAGACAGACAGACAGAGAGAGAGACAGAGAGACAGACAGAGAGACAGACAGACAGAGAGAGAGACAGACAGACAGAGACAGACAGAGAGACAGAGAGAGAGACAGAGAGAGAGACAGACAGACAGAAACAGACAGACAGAAACAGAGAAACAGACAGAAAGAGAGAGAAGCAGACAGAGACAAGACAGAGATATGGATAAGCAGAGACAGAGATGCCGACGCTTGTCAAATATCACCCTTTATCTCGTCTTATCTCTACCCTGCAGGAGCCCATCAAATGTCATCCCTTATCTTTGCACCCTCGAAGGTGCCCATCAAATGTCATCCCTTATCTAATCTTATCTCTGCTCCCTCCAGGCGCCCATCAGATGTCATCCCTTTTCTTATCACTGCCCTCCTGGATGCTTGTTACTGGCATCATACTTCAAGGGAACTACTACTTTCTTTTTCCTTCTTCCTTCTTCATCCTTCTTCTTCTATACTCCCATGTATCCAAAACATTGCTGGGACCTATAAATACTTTGTATATATTCCTAGACAATAGTAAATGATCAAGGCAGGTGTAAATGCCCACCTGTCAATGTGTTTGTGACAATTTGAATACAATTTCAGTACCCAGTATTAGTGCCAGAACAAATTGGTTATGAAATGACAAGAACTACCATAAATTGCAATTATCAGAACATAAAAATTATATAAAATATAAAAATGAGAAAAAAAAGGTATATTGGCAACACTTCTGCAAGTGGTAGGACTCGATGTTGCCGTCAGGCGAGCAGTAACTGCCAACTTTGCAGCCTCATATCTCGGTAAGTACTGACCCTAATTTTTTTTTATTTTAATCCTATAACGCTCAGAAAAATTTTCTCTATTTCAATAAAAAGCTCTTTTTTTATTTTTCAAAATATTCGGGGCACTGGGCAAGAGAACGTGTATGTATACGTTTGGACCATTTAGGGGTTAAGAAAAAAAAAATCATGTTGGATAATGTTTGTATTTTAGAACAGACAAACACGATAGTCTAAAGATGAGCCATGTAATGGGTCCCGATCCTCAAAACAAAACAAAAAATATAATTTACATAGAAAAGCTGAAAGAATTGTATATACCATCTTTGGCTGGTATGAGTCAAAAGAAGATACAGAAGATTGTAAAAAGATATGAGAAAGTTGATAAAGAAGATTCTTAACACCTAAAGTAGCAGAATAAGAGGTCATAACTAAGGAATAAAACGTACTGAATGGATACTAGAATGTCATACTGTATACAAGAATTGAGGCTGTTATGAGGGTAAAGGGAAGAGATCCCTACCCAGTATTAGAAGGGTTTACCTAATAAAGTGGCCACTGAGTGTGTAGCTCTAAACACTTGCTGAAGTAATCATTGGATAACTGGTTGACCGAAATGTCCATGATCTGCTGCAGGCATGATATGAATGAACCATACCCCCGGCCGGGATTGAACCCGCGGTCATAGAGTCTCAAAACTCCAGCCCGTCGCGCTAACCACTAGACCAGCTAGCCACAATAAGATTCATCCAACTAGGTATATTTCTACACCATAGTTGGATGAATCTTATTGTGGCTAGCTGGTCTAGTGGTTAGCGCGACGGGCTGGAGTTTTGAGACTCTATGACCGCGGGTTCAATCCCGGCCGGGGGTATGGTTTATTTGCAATCGTGTCATTACGATTTCTTAAGTCATGATATGAATGAAATGTGGCAGGATTCTATTTTCTTTTTGATTATATTCTGGGTATTCTTAATAGGATTGAGATCTGGACTATTCTCCAGCCACTGTAAAACCTCAATATTTTTCTCAGCAAGCTACTTGGCTATTTTTTTTGGTTTTGTGACACAGGGGCACTATTGTGCATATATATTATATATCGCCCCTATATAGTACAGTGGACCCCCGGTTATTGGCCAGTTCAGTTATCGGCCAACTCAGTTATCGGCCGGTTTTTCGGCGCCCGGTTATCGGCTGTTAATTCTGTTATCAGCCATTTGGGAGGCGTAAATCCATCGGCTGGGACCGCTTGCGAGTAAGTTTGGCTTTGTCTCTATGCGAGTGAGGAAACTTCTGCTCATTCATCCAAACATTTTGCTATAATCCATTGTTTTTTGTGGTTATTGATCGAGTACAACTGCAAAATAAGCAACCATGGGCTGAAAGAAACACGTTACATAGTACAGTGGACCCCCGCATAACGATTACCTCCGAATGCGACCAATTATGTAAGTGTATTTATGTAAGTGCGTTTGTACATGTATGTTTGGGGGTCTGAAATGGACTAATCTACTTCACAATATTTCTTATGGGAACAAATTCGGTCAGTACTGGCACCTGAACATACTTCTGGAGTGAAAAAATATCGTTAACCGGGGGTCCACTGTATATGAAAACATGCAGTGTTTATATGCGATTATTAATAATAATCACTGGTACATTAAATGTCTTATTTAATGTTAATATAGACATTTTCATTAATCCATCTAGTATATCTTCTTCAAAATTATGTAAGAAACATGTTACATAACATATAAACATGCAGTGTTTATTATATGCAATGTATATTAATAATCACTCTTTTTCACATTAAATGTCTTATTTTACGTTAATATAGACATTTTCATTAATCCATCTATGATATTTTCTTCAAAATTATGTAAGAAACACATTACATAGCATATAAACATCCAGTGTTTATTATATGCAATGTATATTGGAGAGTAAACATTACATTTTCTCTGATGCAGCGTTAGAGAAAACTGTGAATCTGGCGACTGGTGCAGTAACCGCCCTTCATATGCATTTGTTTACAATTCTTGGCATGAATTATTCATTACTTCTCCCTTTGTTTATGATGGCATCTAAAGGTAGTTGTTAGAAACGATTAAACTCGGTGAACATGGTAATAATATGGCTGTGTAGTGTAATATGTCTGTGTATTGTAATATAGCTGTGTAGTGTAGCCCAGAGGGGGAGGGGGCTACATATGTGTACTGTACCTACATCTACTGCTACCTACACTGACTTCCTACAAATAAATACTACTCACCTCTTGCCCTACATTAAGACTACAAATATTTTAAGGTTGGTAATGAATGTACTGTAGCAGTAAATGACAAATTAAAGAGGTGTGTGCAATGTAGAGTAGGGTGCATGCTTTTGTAGAGAACCACCACCCTGACCAAGCTGAAACAAGCCATATCTGCAACATGTTCAGTGACAAAACCCTGTCTCACTTCACGGAAATCTTAGAGAGATGCCAGAAACAGACCTCTATGGACAGATTTGTTGTGATACAGGGGTCCAGTGACTCTCAAGCTGGTCCTAGTAGTATTAAAAGACAAAGAAGGGAAGTAACTCCAGAGAAGGCTTCGCTACCTAAAGTCTTTATGGAGGGGGATTCCCCTTCCAAACACTAACTCCTCCCTCTTTCCTCTTCCTGTCTTCCAGAAGCCAGCATTAGCCTTCAATAAAGGTATGTAAAACTTACATAATTGTTAAAAAAATTATTTTTTTGTGAATATTTTTGTCTGGAACGGATTAATTGTATTTCCATTAATTCTTATGGGAAATATTAATTCGGTTTTCGGCCATTTCGGTTATCAGCCGACCTTCTGGAATGGATTACAGCTGATAACCGAGGGTCCACTGTATGTGTATTTTAGTTTTTCTCATTCAGTGTCAAAGAAAATAATGCAGTACCAGTTAGTAAATTTACTACCTTCAGGTAGTGCTCTATGGTCCATATAAAAGCATATGGCCACCTTGAGTCACTACTGCTCAACCACAACATAGTAATGTATTGTGCTGTATCAACAAATTGGGTCTGGCAGCAGACATTATTTTTAATTCCCCAATGTTTTTTTGGATTTTCTAGTTCAAAATGCAATCTGATTCAAAAGGGCTCTGGACCAAGTTCTTCTGGATATTGACTGTTATACAGTACCATCACCAGGGTTAAACTTTTATCCTTGGACCTGCTTCTTATTTTTAATTGATTCTTGTGTGGAATCTTACAAGTGAATAAAGAATAAAAAGGCATAGTACCATGACTGCAACATTACACAAATAATCTACACATAGGAGAAAGAAACTTGTGACTCTAGTTAATGTTCCAACTTGGACCATTAACTAGTGTGTGACTGGTTAATGGTTCAAGTCTGACTGAAACATCGTCACAAGTTTTTCTCCTGTGTGTGGGTTATTTGTGTATTACAAGTGAAGATAATATGAAAGCATTGTATAGTATAGTATTATTGTTACACTAGTTAAAAACTGAAATTAGTATAGGAATTACAATAATAATTTTTTTTTTTTTACTAACAGGGTTCGACTCGGGCCTTCCCTCCACACCATCCTCTAATTCCTGTTGATTATCAGCTGACAGGACAACCTGTGCTAATTGGTGGAACAATGGGCACTTGTTCCTATGTATTAACAGGAACTGAGCAGGGTATGATGGAAACCTTTGGATCAACATGCCATGGTGCTGTAAGTCATCAATTTCTTCATTTAACCCTTTTACAGTATCTGTTTTTTCCCAAAGCACACTGGTTATTAAGATTTTCAATAAAATATTTCTCATTTTATTTTTTTATTTTTTTTTTTCTTCAACAAGTCGGCCGTCTCCCACCGAGGCAGGGTGACCCAAAAAAAGAAAGAAAATCCCCAAAAAGAAAATACTTTCATCATCATTCAACACTTTCACCACATTCACACATTATCACTGCTTTTGCAGAGGTGCTCAGAATACAACAGTTTAGAAGCATATACGTATAAAGATACACAACATATCCCTCCAAACTGCCAATATCCCAAACCCCTCCTTTAAAGTGCAGGCATTGTACTTCCCATTTCCAGGACTCAAGTCCGACTGTATGAAAATAACCGGTTTCCCTGAATCCCTTCACTAAATATTACCCTGCTCACACTCCAACAGATCGTCAGGTCCCAAGTATCATTCGTCTCCATTCACTCCTATCTAACACGCTCATGCACGCTTGCTGAAAGTCCAAGCCTCTCGCCCACAAAACCTCCTTTACCCCCTCTTTCCAACCCTTTCGAGGACAACCCCTACCCCTCCTTCCTTCCCCTATAGATTTATAAGAAATATTTTCTATTTATACTGTTCACCCCAGTTTAACTGTCAGGATGCTTTACTGAGAAATCATTAAGTCAATTTTAAGTGAAGTGAACTCCATTTTTCCTTAGACACCTGTGCTATTACCAGAGGTGTGTTCTGAGTTGTCCAAGACTGTCACGGTTAATACTTTAACCGTCACTTCCACCGAAATTAAAGGTCCTGTCAGTTTTGCAATTTAAAAAAATACGGAAATGGTAGAGAATCTTTTTCTGAAGGTAATGACATCAAAAAATGTAAAATTTACTGAAAACTCATGGATTTATAAAGGTGCAAATTTGTCGATCTGGGTGCAATATGTGCATCAGCAAATGCACTCTGAGTTCTATTTTAGGCCAATTCTATTGCTCAAACTGACCCAGTTCCTAGTTATAGTACCCCATTGGATAACACATGATCTGTCAACATGTTTTCATTCTAACATGGTTGCAAAACTGCAGTATGTTTTTGGTGATCACTCTGTAAAAATTGTCTACATGGTGGAGCACATGTAGGAGAAAATGTGGCATGCTCCGCAGTCTTTCTCCTCTGTCTCAGTGAGCATCAGGGAGAGTCCATTGTCCTATGGGGAGGCCTATGTAATGTACAGTCTCCCTCATCCAGTGCTTTGTCTGCACACGTCCAGTACCACACTTGGCCTGTGTTTGTGAATAGACTTGATATTTTCATCATTGATTTTGTCTGGATGATGACAATGGCTCCCAAGAGGAATGTAATTGATTCTGGAACTGCAAAGAAGAATAAACATGTACATTAAACCACTGTACATTAAACTACTTCCCAGTAAAAGTAGGTCTTAAACAGGGATGTGTAATGTCACCATGGTTGTTTAATATATTTATAGATGGGGTTGTACAAGAAGTAAATGCTAGGGTGTTCGGGAGAGGGGTGGGATTAAATTATGGGGAATCAGATACAAAATGGGAATTGACACAGTTACTTTTTGCTGATGATACTGTGCTTATGGGAGATTCTAAAGAAAAATTGCAAAGGTTAGTGGATGAGTTTGGGAGTGTGTGTAAAGGTAGAAAGTTGAAAGTGAACATAGAAAAGAGTAAGGTGATGAGGGTATCAAATGATTTAGATAAAGAAAAATTGGATATCAAATTGGGGAGGAGGAGTATGGAGGAAGTGAATGTTTTCAGATACTTGGGAGTTGACGTGTCGGCGGATGGATTTATGAAGGATGAGGTTAATCATAGAATTGATGAAGGAAAAAAGGTGAGTGGTGCGTTGAGGTATATGTGGAGTCAAAAAAAACGTTATCTATGGAGGCAAAGAAGGGAATGTATGAAAGTACAGTAGTACCAATACTCTTATATGGGTGTGAAGCTTAGTTTGTGAATGCAGCTGCGATTAGATGGTTGGAGGCAGTGGAGATGTCCTGTCTAAGGGCAATGTGTAGTGTAAATATTATGCAGAAAATTCGGAGTGTGAAAATTAGGAGAAGGTGTGGAGTTAATAAAAGTATTAGTCAGAGGGCTGAAGAGGGGTTGTTGAGGTGGTTTGGTCATTTAGAGAGAATGGATCAAAGTAGAATGACATGGAGAGCATTTAAATCTGTAGGAGAAGGAAGGGGTAAGGGAGGTTTTGTGGGTGAGGGGCTTGGACTTCCAGCAGGCGTGCATGAGCGTGTTCGATAGGAGTGAATGGAGACGAATGGTATTTGGGATCTGACGATCTGTTGGAGTGTGAGCAGGGTAATATTTAGTAAAGGGATTCAGGGAAACCGGTTATTTTTATATAGCCGGACTTGAGTCCTGGAAATGGGAAGTACAATGCCTGCACTCTAAAGGAGGGGTTTTGGGATCTTAGCAGTTTGGAGGGATATGTTGTGTATCTTTATACGTGTATGCTTCTAAACTGTTGTGTTCTGAGCACCTCTGCAAAAACAGTGATTATGTGTGAGTGAGGTGAAAGTGTTGAATGATGATGAAAGTATTTTCTTTTTGGGGATTTTCTTTCTTTTTGGGTCACCCTGCCTCGGTGGGAGACGGCCGACTTGTTGAAAAAAAAAAAAAATAAACCACTGAATGGGTGGGGTTTGAACCTATGGCAAGTGAATCGTAAAGCTCAAGGCCAGGTGTGTTTAAAACTGTGTTATGATTTTGTGAAGCAATACCGATAATTTGTTGGTACTGTATACTACTGATATACAATTTGTCAGACACAGCAACATTATGGAATCTTTGTAAACGAGACATCTTCACACCCTACTTACCTACTGTTACAAAAAACGCGATTCTAAAAGCTTAGAGATCTCCAGTGAATACTAGAAAGGACTGCCCTTCTAGCATCCAGCCTGTTACTGGGTTTTCGTAACAAGTAGTCAGTATCCTTTTCCAATTATCCAAAAAAATTTAAAGTAGGGTTTCAATAGTGTTTTGGGGATTAAAACGGAGGCTCAAACCAAGAAAAATTTAAAAAATTTAAAAATTTTTAATTAAGAAGTAAGTTGTCTAAGGTATAAATCAAAGAAAATTTAAAATAAAGAAATTAAAAATAAATCAAATCCTCGAGTTAAATATTATTGTGCTGAAAGCTCAATCACATTTAAAATTCTTAATTTCCGCCCGGAAAAATTTTAACTTTTAATAAGATATTACAAAAAAGTACAATAAGTTTTAAATTGCGTGTAAGTGCCTTGGGAAATTACCTATGTCCAAAGACTCGAATAAGATTTAAAACAATTGACTGAAAAAGTCCTCAAATAAACAACATCTTGACCGACGGCAACCCGAACAGTCGGTTGAACAAAAAAGAATCTAACCCAAAAAGGGCAAGGGAAAATAAAACCCAAATGCGACACAGAATCGGGAAACCCGGAAAGAAAATATAACGAAAAAAAAGGGTAGGGACCATCTGCAACCCCCACAAAAGTTACAAAACTCCCTTTAATACTGAATTATTTCAGCATAGGTAAAATGGGGACGTGACAATACACAGGAACCATAAAAAAATTAGGTCAGAACTATACCCTAAGGCCCTGAGATCTCCGATTTGGGTCTAAGCGACCAACAACCTCAGTACAACGTCAAAAATCACAAAGTTTTTCCCAAATTTTTCGTGAACAAATTTTTTCTACGGGAACAACAAAAAATAAAGAGACAGACAACTGTCCAACCCCCAAGAGAGTTTTGGGGCAGACGGACTACTTCACAGGGGTGAGGACACCCCCCCCGATCACGTGATAGCTTCCTGGCCAAGTGCACCAGAAGCCGGCAGTATAACACGACAAGCAAAAATTACAGGTTTTTTTGACAACAAACTAACGAGCAAAATTATATATTACCCCTTAACAACAAAAGCAAATAAAATTTATAACATTCAAATAAAAAAAAAAAGTCAACATTTGCGATTTAGCTATTTTTTCCGCAAATTTAAAAGCAATATAAAATTATATGAAAAGGTAATATCCTTATATAACATAATAATCATTGAAACCCCAAATTCGGGGGTTGCAACACCCCCCCCAACACGACAAGTCCCCACTGGGAGTTGCATTAATGTTTTTCCCAATTATTTCGGGTTACTCATATCAATTTAAATTATCAAAATAAATATTAATTAGTCTCTCTTGTGAAAAAGCCCTCTAAAATTTTTCACGCGCCCGTACAGGATATTCCCCTAGAAAACTGGGACAGTACACAGAAATCGTATCCTTCAACTCGTGGTTAGTACATCATGGAAGAGCCCGGATACGTAGCCGAGCAGGGCACGAGGCTCGATCATAGTAAGGAACTGCATTCCACTCTTAAGTAGGGGGTTTTGGAAGCTAGGCATTTTAAAATTATCGATATGAAACAGCTTGGGTTTGGTGTGGAAAGGGGGGGGGGGGCCCTGCGGCGGGACTTTTTTGCTTCACGCAGTACATCCCCCCGCACCACCTACTCACTCAACACCAGCTTGTCTCCCCCTCCCACAAAATACTGTAAATACATAAAGATAATAATTAGACATAAACATGAAAATATTATTTAATTGGGCGGGAGGGTTTAAAATTTTATTTTTACTAAATTTTTGACATAGCAAGTAAAAAAAGGGTTTTTGGGGCAAAAAATTAAACGTTAATTTAAGAAACGATAATTTTTAAAGGACGGGACAGAGCTCAGAAATTTAAACATTACAACGCCCATTTTATTTTTTTTTAAATACAAATAAAATAAGGTTGGATTCTGGGGGCCCCCCCTATGACCCCTACTTTTTTTACTTTAAACTTTTTTTAAATAAGTGAGTGGTTTGGGGGCCCAGAAAAAAACTTTAATTTTAAATGGGAATTGCCCAAATACACTCAAAATTTTCCCCAAGACACCAAAAGACTAGAGCCTTTTTCTAAATAGTGGCAAAAATT